GTGCCATGGCTGCAGCCACCAAGGCGAACTCAGGAACTTTCAAGCCAACGGGGCTGGGCAAAATAATGAGCATGAGAAACAATTTTGTCGAGCCGTTGCCTGAAACAAGCGTAGGAAATATTTACCAGATTCTGGAATTTCCGACAAGCGACGAAAGTGAAGTGACGCCAGATGCGGTGATTGGTGAACTCCGGAAAAGAAAGACGGAAGTCCGGCGTATAACAAATATAGAAAGGATGATGGAAATGATTGCAGAGATGTATTCAGAAACTGGTATGTTGGAAAGGTTAAATAAACTTGATGGGCATTACTTATATTCTTTCTTGAATAAGTTTCCTGCATATGGGATTGATTTCGGGTGGGGGACGTCCATGAAAGTAACCATTGCCGGAACTCAAAAGAATTTGACGATGTTTATGGCAAGTCCCAATGGGGAGGGCATCGAAGCGCTTGTGTCTTTGGAAAGACGAGACATGGACATACTTCAAAATGATCCTCTCTTGTTGGCCTTTTGCTGTTACAAAATAATTTGATTTGGTGATGAGCACCAGTTATCGTTACAGCCGTCAACGAATCAAACTGTTCAACAATAAATCTTCTATGTTCGGTTATTTGATAAATGAATGAAAATATAAAGATATTTTGTTCGTTAATTAAGTTTAACAAACGAACATGAATTATGATATCACTCCTTCAATAAATATTTGTTTATGTTCGTTTGTTTTCATTCGTTCGGTAATGCATATATAATTAAGAACTAGAAGGATATTCGCATAATGTAGCGGAATTAATACATCTCGATTTTAATGTTTCATTTTATTTTTTTGTCTCAGTCGATATTATAATACGGTTTTATGTAGTTTTGAGAAAACGATAATGTTTTTATTTTTAAATAAAATATAAACATGAAGATATTATAAAAATCAGAAATATATATATTGATATCTATACTATCTTATAAAACATTTGGCTAAAACTCTTAAAATCTGGCTAAAACTCTTAAAGTCTCTTAAAACTCTTAAACTCTTAAAGACAACCTCTATTGCTTTAGGTACAACCTACTAAAGCATATTATACCTAAACCCCCTCCATCCGTATCCCTGTACCCAATCCCTATCCCTAAACCCCCGCCATCCCCGATCTGCTTATCCCTAAACCCAATCCCATTTTTATCGGCAACCCTATCCCTAAACCCAATCCCTTTTTATCGCCATCCATATCCTATAAACAAAATCGATTCCATGAACAGAGATTTTGATGAAATCGATTCCAACCCAATTCGATTTCATCTAAACGATTTCATCGCCCTAACCCGATTCGATGCATATATATTTGACATGTTCTTCAATTATTTTATTTAGTTCACCAATAAAGATCAGAAACAGAGCAACTCAAATTCTACTTATCTGCAGGTAACTCTTCTACAATTTGGAACCCTAGATTTATGTTTCCCCTTAATCGTCCTTCATTCGCTTTCCTGTTGTGGCTGTAACAAGCTTTGCAAATGAATTGAAAGTATTACAAGATGCATAATCAATTCATCAGTTGTGGAAACATGCAAAAGATTGTGAAATTATTGATTTATCATCAATTTTGTGTTTCTTTTGGGAGGTGTGAATGCCTCAAAACATGAAATTGGGATCTATGAAATCAACAATGGCCATTTTTCAGTTAAATTCACCAATTGGGGTGCAACCATTGTCTCTCTTCTTCTTCCTGATAAGAATGGTGCACATACTAAACTCACCTTTCTGTGTGTTTTTTTTAATCTTCTTGTGGTTGGTTATAGTTTCTATTTAATTCTTTGAAGAATCCCAAAATCTTTTTGGTGATTGCTATGGATTTTGAGGAGATTAATGCATAATCATATATGAATGGCACCACAAATACACACTAAACTCACCTTTTTGTGTGCTTTTTTTCTTCTGGTTTCTCTTGTTTGGATTGAATCCTAGAATCTTTTTGGTGATTACTATGGATTTTTGAGAAAATCAAAACAGATACACTTTAAACACACGGGACTGCATTCTGTGATGGCCTTATATATAACATATCAAGTCCTTACATGAATACATTGTTCTAACTATTAAATAATGAAAGCAAATAACTGGAGTTACTTTGTTTTGCAGGAAAGTCCAATCAGCTCGCAGTCATCGCAGGTCAGGTATATATACATACTTTCTTAGCTGAAAATGTTTCGATACTTGGCTTCCATAATTTGATCACCAGCAACATTTATACATATTTGAACCCATGACTTTTTAGGTTTACTAAAACATAGTTGCAACATTAATTCTCTTAAAAACTCTTAAAGACAACCTCTATTGCTTTAGGTACAACCTACTAAAGCATACTGTCTTTTTGGACAAAAGGCTAGATTATTGAAAACGCAAAAGGTTTATAACACTTTATCACGGGTAGGGCTTTTATATAGATATCAACAGAGACTAATAAACTGATCAACAAATTAACTGAACTATTCTTGCATTGGATAAAATACATGGTTGGATGTGTCATAGCTACAACTGTTTTGATATATAGCTTTCCCACTGGCAATATTTAGTCTATTCTCGCTTGCATGTCATGTTAGACCCTTAGGACACTATAGGGGATGAGCATCTGTGCTTAAATCACAATGATCCAATCATGTTTTCCACACAACCATGATCTACATTCATGTTTTCTACACAGCCATGATCTCCATTCCTTTTTTTCACACATCCATGATCTGTTCACTTCCTGCCTTAGACACAGACACAACCATGATCTGTTCACTTCCTGCCTTAGACACTCATCAATCAATCTTTCTTTCTTTCTTTCTTTCACTCTTTACACCTCGTGACTGTGCAGGGTTTGATTGTATTGTACCACACATATTGTCCATGCTTATGTAGAATAGAGCTACCATGCCTTAACTTGGACTTATATGTCTTTTTGTTAACCTGTACCAACACTTTTGTCATATCCAAACTAACATCTCAAATGAAATTTCAACTTCTGGCCTCAATTTCTCAATAACCAAAAACTTGTGTTTTGGGGTTTTTCACACAAGAGTTTCATGGGAAAATGTATAGGGTTTTGGTAGATAACACATTGATGGTGATGAGTGAAATGAACAGGGTTTAAGTGAAGTTTGACTACAAGTCTGGAACAAATGTATCTGAGGTGTAAGGAAAAATAAATAAGAAATATAACTTAAAATGAAGAACATGTAGTCCATACAAGAGTATGAGACTTTAGCATATGACTGTTAGCTTAAAAAGGCAGACTTTATTCAAGTCTGCTGCTGCCTGCTGTCCAAAAGACTGCTATTATATGTTGCCATGAACTTTCCTCATCCAGATGTTTCTTGATATACTAGTTAGTATCAAACTAATAAAAAAAAATCACTTCTTTGTGTAATTTATTTGATTCATTTTTTTTTTTTGGTTTAATAATATAATTTTTTTATAAAACATAATAATTACGTATTTTGTTAGTTTTCGATGATTATCCTAATTATATTTTAGATTTTTTATATTAAAATAAGATGTTTATCCTCTAATTGATTATGTTTATTTGTAGTTGGTTACACGACTTCAAACATGGAGATTTAATCAATTGTATTTACGCACCATTTACTTGTAATTTTGAATTTTAAGTAATTATTATTAATAAACAGTATTTAATGCATAAAAAATGGTTTTTAAGAGTTTTTATCAAATGCTTTATAATATAGTATGTATATATATATAATCATTAATTAATTTAAAATACATTTTAGATTTTTAGAAACGATTGACTTTGTTCTTTTTCATTTATCTATTTTCATTCGTTTATATGCATGCATTTATGTTCGTTTTTTTAACATCTGAATGTGCTTATTTTTTTAATGAGCAAATATGAATACAAAAGTCGTCTATTTGTATTTGTGTTCCTTCATTTGTTTAAAAGATCAAACACAAACAAGTTTGGATCCATTAACATTCGATTTGGTGTGTGTACAGCCCTAGTTATTGTGTCATTTACTCATTTAGATTCCATATATGTGTAAGTGTTTACCAAGGGTACCTAATTTCTTGGCCTGCAAATTAGGTCCACACCAAAATTAGTTCTCACAAGAGCTAAGTCTATATAACATACGGGTTGGGTTCTGGTGAGAAGTGTAAATATCAACACTAGCTTATGAGGTGCACCGAGATGCATCAGATTAATTCATTTATAAAGCGCAATTCATGAGATTAGAAGTGATCAATGATTCAAATCTCTTCTTACGTTTTTCATCATAACTTCATTTCTTACACGAGTCTTGGCATGTAATATAAATGGGCAAATAATTATGCCAATATTATTTCACTTTTGGTCCATCTTGTTTGCAAGAAAAATTTCGCAATCCCTAAATTTCAAAAAATGCAAATGTCGTGGTCGAGGTATGCATTTTGTTTTGAAAATAGTCTTGTAACTCTATTAAAGCTGTCTATGAAAGAAGGAGATTTTGGTCCTTTTACTTATATCTGATTTTCTTTTATTTAAAAAAATATTATATATACACACACAAATACACTCTAACATAACAGTGTTGATTACATCTTGCCATCCCTCACCTCTAATCTCCGGTCATTATATTTACCATGCCTCACCTCTCATCTCTGATCACCATCTCGTTGTCCTTCCCTTGCACCACCGATATTTGGAACCCGACCAACAACAATAGAGTTCACCATGCATGTCATCAATGTCGTCACCCTCCACACGTCAATCCCACGTGAAATTTCAGAACAAATGAAATCCTAAGCCCCAACTTGTAAGTCGCACCAAGAAAGCACATCCGTAGTGAAGGACTCTACAACATCAATTTTGTAGCTATAGGTATATACAATGACAAGTGATAGCTATAGATGAGTATTTTTTTTAAATAGGGAAGTTTAGCAATGACGACACAAGTCACTACATAAAACGCTTGGATTGTCCAAGCGTTCTAATATAATACTCTGTAGAACCTAGGTTTATAGGACCAAACTATAATTATTCTTATCCATAATCGTTACAATATGTTTTTAGAACATTTTTAGGCGTTTTAACATGTTTTGTAGGATAGTTTATTTTAAAACATCATATTAGCTGTTTTATATGACACTTTTGAGGATTCCCATATACCCAACTTTTTATGGAAAACACTTTTTCAAATAACGTAGTATAAAATAGTTAACACGATACTTCACTTTAACATCATTCTAAGAAACTTGTTAGAACGTCTAAAAATGTGTCTTATAAACCTATTATAACACTCTTAGATAAGACGTTTTTTGGTCTACTCCTTTGTAGGAATTTGAATTTTTGATTTTCATCTATTGTCGTTATAAATAGTTATAGCTACGAGCTTGAAAACTTGTCTGTACTCGTCCTATAAACAATTGGACTTGCCCACGGGCTAACGGACCTAAAACATCTTTTTATATTTTTAAGAAAACAAAACTAATATAAAATTACAAGTTATCTAAAATAATTCATAATCGATAACAATTTTTTCAACTTAAAATTAGACGTTGGCCAT